TATTGTATTGTGTCATATCGTATAGTGATGTATTGTATCGTATCGTGATGTATTGTATCGTATCGAGACATATCGTACCGTATCATGTCATATCATATTGTATTGTGTCATATCGTATAGTGATGTATTGTATCGTATCGTGATGTATTGTATCGTATCGAGACATATCGTACCGTATCATGTCATGTCATATTGTATTGTGTCATATCGTATTGTGTCATATCGTATCATGACGTATCATATTGTGACGTATGGTATCGTGATGTATTGTATCGTATCGAGACATATCGTATCGAGACATATTGTATCGTGACGTATCATATTGTGACGTATCGTATCATGATGTATTGTATCGTATCGAGACATATCGTACCGTATCATGTCATATCATATTGTATTGTGTCATATCATATAGTGACATATCGTATCGTGATGTATTGTATCGTATCGTGATGTATTGTATCGTATCGTGACATATCATATCATATCATGTCATATCATATTGTGTCACATCGTATCATATTGTATCCTATCATCTCCTATTGTGCACAGTTGAATCTTTTAGTATTGTACTACAATGGTCCAGGATATTTGTGTGCAGGTGTATAAATGTCCACAAAGAGGCCTTCAGACTCTTGACTGGTGGAGTTTCTTGTGTTCAGGTACATCATACACATGACGTGTGTACTATGAGTTGTGTATTATAAACTGTGGTTTATTAGGAAGTTTAACTTTTTGAATTAATTAATTAACTTTTTGTTGCAGGGACCTCCTACAGACACACAGTACCAGATGATGATAGTTCTTATCTTCCTTTAGCTGTCCTAGATATAAAATAAATKATTAGGAGAAGATTTGATTATATGGATGAAATTTAACACGCTTCAGGGGGTCAAACACAGAAGGGTCATTTTCAAGKCAGCGAGTGGAAGAATGTGGGAAGTTTGTTTAGTTGTAGTTTTAATTTCCACCTACTGGTTGAGTGGGAGGTTCCTGCTGAACACACACAGCTTTCAGAAAAATACAAGAAAATAAACACGGTGAACGTGTTTATTATGACATGGAAATCTGGATCACAACAAGAAGAAGGAAGGGTTTGAGTTTCAGGCTGAGCTGCAGAAAAATAAAGTTTCAGCCTGTCAGGATAATAACTGCAGCTTTTTAATAACAGAAGTTTGATTTGGAATTCAGCTCTGAAAACACACTGATGTTTGCTCCGACAGCAAACAGACATGAAGCTTTCCTCTGTGTGTGTGTGTGTGTGTGTGTGTGTGTGTGTTTGTCTTACAGGCTCTCCAGACTTTTGGTTCCCGTCAGATCTGGAAAGTCAGTGAGGTTTGCAGCTCCGTTCAGAGATCTGAGGGGAAAGGCGGCAGGACTCAGGCTGACAGAAGCGGATTTCCAGGCAGGAAACAGAAAATGTTTGGTTTGAATGTGAGAGACGTTCTTTGTTCTTTGTGTAATTAGCACCTGATTAAACTGGGCTCAGACTAAATACTGAGTCGCCTCAGAATGACCTTTAGTTTCCTTCTGGGACTGARACAATGAAAGAAATTCAGTTGGGCCTGAAGGATAAATCTTATTAATGTGAATATTTATTTCTAAATAACACCTCCAACATAGGGGTGTAAAGATACATCGATCTATATCGATATATCGATTTGAATGGTTCATGACTCAGTTTTATTGAGGCAAAATGAAAATATTGATCTATATCGTCATCATTTGCTCGATAGGAATCGATATTGTATGCCCATCTAACACAGTCATTGTGTTAGATGATATCACATTATATCGATTGCAGACGTGAATTGAACTGAATCGAAATCATATCGTGACAGACTTTGTGATATCGAGAAATATYGAATCATCATCCAAACATGTCAAAGTAGTATTATATCATGATAAAGCTGGTGATTTACACCCCTACTCCGACATAAACTTAGATAATTAAAGACCTATCGGTCCGTAAAAGAATATATATCACCCCCACCACCTGTCTCATAATGACGATGATGATGATGATGATCTTGCATTATAAACTTTTTACCTCCCAGTTAGAGTTAAACCTAAAAACCACACACCTTATTTCAGGTTTCAGTGAATTAAAATAAATCTATTACATTTCTTTCATTTTTTTCCCCATGTTATTATATATGTCAGTTTCTGACCATAACTACAGAAAAGTGATGTGGCAGAGATTTGTTTATCTACATCCAATGACAGTTGTTTACATTTATTTTACTTTCTCCCATCTTTGCCAGTAATGGATGGATGATGGATAGATGATGGATGGATGGATGGATGGATAGATGATGGATGGATGGATGGATGGATGATGGATGGATGGATGGATGGATAGATGATGGATGGATGGATGG